TCCAAAGAAAATAAGGCTTTCTTCCTGTACAGATGCTATAGAGGATTTAATAAACTGGAGCGCGTCTTGAAATTTCCAGTTTATTTACTGTTTATTGATAGACATTAAACATAGAATTGTCTTGCAATTACCCAGGAGTGCTTCTCATAAATAAGATTTGTATTGTGTCACTAATTTTTGCATTTGACTCACAATGATAGATTATCTAAAGGTTTAAAAATATTATAACTAAAGCCACTTGTTTGAAATTTATGTCCATGTATCATCGATGGAGTTTGCACAATTTTGGAGCTATCCATCCTATGCATCTTCGTATAACTAGGGAATTATAATCTCATTATTGCCTTAGGAGTCTGTTAATTCAAACATATGTTAGCAACTGACTTGTAAGGACGTTAATCCTTTTATAGTGTGTTTATCATTTTTTAATTGTAAATTTCTATACAGGTATAGACGTTATTTTTAATCGACCTAATAGTAATCATAATATTGACCACAGAAAGATGAAAGGCTTGGTTGTCCCTGCCTGATATTACCCCCGTGACCATAAGACTGCTGACAATTGTTAAATTGCAATACTTACGACAAATTAGCCAAGCTAGATACATTTTATGATTAACTCAGTTTTTAGTCTTAAGAAAATTCAAATATGTTATTAACTCAATGCAACAAATTATTTAGTGAATAAACATCTTAACCTTTATTTTATTTAATGTCCTTTTTATAATCTTGTAGTTCAACCATTCGAGATCGATGATCAAAACATGGCTAATGCAATAATTTTTTATTTGAAAACTAAGACTAATCTACCAGTATCCCTTGTAAATCACTTCAAGTCCCTCTTGCTTGATATATCATATATTTCAACACCAGGAGTTTTTTATTGTTGAATGTGTTGGTATAGTATGTTCTAAATCAAATCTTGCCCTCACAAAATCTATGCATTTCTTTTCAGAATGTCCATACGGCACCTATGGGATGGAGTGCAGGAGAACCTGCAACTGTCAGTCTGGCATATGTGACAGAGTGACAGGAAAGTGCCTAAAATTTCCATTCTTTCAACTTACTGGGGGCAAGTCAGCAAGTAAACTAAGGCTTGTTTCTCATACAGGTACGTAATTAAAACATGTATTTGTGGTTTAACGAGGACTTTCACTTCCCAGATTTTTAACGTTGTATGTCTGGTGAGAAAAATAAAACTTCAAGTAGAAATTCACACATCTTAATCCTGTAATGGAGCAGCGCCGTCTTAGCTTTTTTGCCTTGTCTCAATTGGATTGTGATTTAATTTCCTCTCCTCGTTTCACAGTCCAACACCTAGTCCAGTGGTACAGAGTCATACACTGAACGCAAATATGTTCTCTTAAAAAGGAAAAAGAAATCAGTTTTACGGTTCCCTTTTACAACAGCACTTGATATGGGACTACTATGAACTGCTTTTTCTGCTAATGAATACTATGAGAGGTATTCACTATAGTCCGAAGGGCCACATACCAAATTGGACAAAACCATACAGTTCTGTACAGGTCCAGTCAAATTGCAAAATCCAGACAATATGCACAATATGTATAAATGTCCACACTTCAAATAAGCATATAATAAGGCTCACTAAAGAAAGAAAACATAGATAATATTATAACGTTATCTATCCATTAGTGTTGCAAACAATATATTGTATATGTTTTATAATAATGCAAATAAAGGTTGTTGTAAACTCAGTACTAAAAAAATATCATATATATATATATATATATATATATATAAATTGCCCATGTGTGCAAATTAAAATATTAATTTGTACTCCTGACTTTAGTTGGATTTTATTTTCAATGCTCATCCAAACATTCTCACTTCTGTATATTGTTCTTTTTCGAATCTTCCAAGCAGTCATTAGTCTTTTATCGAATGCTAATGCCTTCAGTGGGATATTAGACAATGATATTGTAAAAATTCTGCACCTATGAGCATGGATTACGTTTTGTCTGTTTGTTGCATTCCATAGCCCCTGGAATGGCAAAAAACATAGAAGTCTCCAAACTTCCTAAACTCCTGTCCTCTTTCCAATTAGTCACGATCCCTCAATATCATATTTCATATTTAGCCTCCTCTCCTCATTTCACAGTCCAACACCCAGTCCAGTAGTACAGAGTCATCCACTGAACGCAAATATGTTCTCTTACCATGTGGATGCACTTGTAGGTTGCCAAGATGTTTCTAATACCGATTAGAAAAATATGTCTCATTATGAAATGCTTTGATGTGCTAACTATTTTTTTATCATTTTATTTTTTCTTTTAGCACACTCTGCAGTTAATTAGAAACATAGAAACATAGAATGTGACGGCAGATAAGAACCATTTGGCCATCTAGTCTGCCCAATTTTCTAAATACTTTCATTAGTCCCTAGCCTTATCTTATAGTTAGGATAGCCTTATGCCTATCCCACACATGCCTAAACTCTTTTACTGTGTTAACCTCTACCACTTCAGCTGGAAGGCTATTCCATGCATCCACTACCCTCTCAGTAAAGTAATACTTCCTGATATTATTTTTAATCCTTTGTCCCTCTAATTTAAGACTATGTCCTCTTGTTGTGGTAGTTTTTCTTCTTTTAAACATAGTCTCCTCCTTTACTGTGTTGATTCCCTTTATATATTTAAATGTTTCTATCATATCCCCCCTGTCTCGTCTTTCCTCCAAGCTATACATGTTAAGATCCTTTAACCTTTCCTGGTAAGTTTTATCCCGCAACCCATGAACCAGTTTAGTAGCCCTTCTCTGAACCCTCTCTAAGGTATCAATATCCTTCTGGTGATACGGTCTCCAGTACTCCAATTATAGTCAATAAACTTCCCTATGCAAGATCATTCAAGCTGGAAAAATCAGGAAGCCCTCATAGCTGTCCCCTGGTGCCATCCCACCATTCAACGTTAAACCATTTTTAATGTTTTAATGGTAAACAAGAATTTCTAACAGCCTATCCCCTTGGTCCTGCTTGGGATAATAAGCCCGAGCAGCTGTGAGCGGCTGTGATTGGCTGAGAATGCCAAGTTACTGTGTTCAGCCTAACACAGCGCTCATTGCTAGTATGAACTGGTATGGTTAGAAGGAAATTAGTTAACTATGCCTTAGCCATGCCACCAGTGAGCCTTTTTAAGGGTATTAAATTGCTTGAAAATGGTTGAAAACTGAATGGAAAGACAACTGCAGGGACTATAACCAAGTCAATGAGATTAAAAAGTTATAGTGCATACTTTCAAGTACTATAAGTTATAGTGCATACTTTTAAGTACTTTTAAGGGTCTAGAGAGTCCCTTTAAGATACAGCATGTCAATAATTGTAATTGTTTTTTTTTTTGTTTTTTTTAAATATCACATTTGTATTTTATTTTCTTAATTTTTGTTTAGATTCCGACACTTCTTCTGGTGATGGAAACAATCTCAAAGAAGAATTTGTAAAAGAGAAAACTGTCCGATCACCTGGAATAAAATGGCTAAATCCACGCTGATTTAAAAAAAAAAAAATGTAAGGACTTTTGAATGGATTAAGTGCTTATTTGTTTCTAAATACGGCAAATGAAAAGCACCAGAACAACCTGGATTTGTAATAAAACTCTGAAGATTTCAGCACATTGATTAATTTATAATATGCAAGAAAGCATTAATGACTTCAGAGTTTATGCAAGAAGTTTGTTCTATGATGCAAAAATTCTTATCAATCTTTTGTAAATTTAAAGTAATATAAAATTATTTTGGATCAATTTCAAAGGTTTTTCAATTGTCTTGTAAAGGTGATATAATTCTTCTGTGTATTTAAAACAAATAGCTTTATTTTTGTCTGTGTAAGCTCTTCATTTGAATTTTTTTTTATGTAAATAAATTTTCTGGAATGGTTATATTTCTTATGTCATATGTTTATGAACTAGAGCTATTATTATCCTACTAATCAATTTATAAATCATGCCGCCTGACATTGGGAAGAATGAATATTGCACAAGGACACATGGGCCGCAAGGGGTCACAACCACGGAAAAGGGGTCAACCATATGGAGTAGGACTGGGTCGACCAAAGGAGGTTGGGGCTTAGATGGCATGCCCAATTAAATGGCAGCTATGACGGATTGCCTCAGTTGAGGTTGTTCATATATGCAGAGCACTTCTTCATATGGATTTAATGCCCTGGCTTTGCTTTACCTGGGGCAAGCATGTCTAATGATGCACTTGTGATGTGCTTTCTGGGAAATTGGTTTCTGAAACGCAGGACACCAGTTAGCAAAGTTGAGCAGTCAGAAGCTCCAACTCACAATTATTGTGAGATAAGATGCTTTCTTAAACTGATTTTTGGAACAGGTGTCTATAAAGGGAAATAATGGCTCTTACAAAATTACAATAACATATCAAATACACAAAGTGAATAAAGGAATTTCAGGATATTTTGTGACTGTGAAGTTACCAAGACAGTTTTGTATACAAAACTAAAATGTGATATTAAGTGGAGGAATTACATTTTAGTAGGTTTTAATAGATTTTTCATTCAATTTTGTTCTTCTAAAAGTATACTTTGATCAAATAGTCAATGGTTATTTTATTACAGCATATTAAAGTAAGACTATTGAATGCATTATCCAGAATTTATACATGTTATTATATCCTCAACGTTATGTTAATTGAATCATAACTACAAATAACGTGATATTGTTTCCCAGTGAAGGTATGGTCTGATGCTCATAACATTTAAAGAGTTAAGTAGTTCTTGTCTATTGCACTATCTGAGTTTTGAAATATCCTTTAGTATAGTGTTCTTCAAATCTGTCTTCAAGTCTCACCCGTTGATAAGAATTTGAGAATATTCCAACAGGTGAAAAGGTATCTTAATGAAAATAAATGAATCACTGACATAAATGGCTCTTTCACAGTTTTTTCATAAAAATCAGTTCTCTAAATTACCACTCCAACTACCATAGCTACTACAGCTTGTTCCTCCAATCAAACCTTTTAATGAAGCCACGTCCAGACAAAGCTTCTCCCAAACTTTACTTTGTTGCTTTCTCATTCAGCGGATATATCAATTTAACTACTACCTCCCCAGTTTAATTCCCTTTCTACCCTACCCTTACCTTTTGTGTCACTATATCCCACTCCCTCTAGCATGTAAGCTCATTGAGCAGGGCCCTCAACCCCTCTGTTCCTGTGCATTACACTTGTCTGGTAACAAATACGTGTCTGTTATTCCACCAATTGTACAGCGCTACGGAACTTGTTGGCGCTTTATAAATAATAATAGTAATAATGTGCCAGGAATCTGACCTATAGTTCATATATAGAATATAGTTCCACAAATAACCCTTGCACAGATTCCCCTTTAATCAAACCATAAACTCCTAATTTGGTTTTCCAAATTTTGCCATACACTGATCGGCACATTTTTATTCCTCTTCAGTACATCTAATTCATTCTCCCAAATCTTTTTCCTTTACTAACTTCTGCCGAGCTAAACCACCATATTACCAAAATTCTGCCATCTCAAAAAAAATATTTTCATCTGAAGTGAACAAGTCAATTCTCACTGAATCGTGGGTGGCCTTGCAGCTGAAAGATTTTGGACCAAGTGTAGAGGTGGTTAAAAAAATGCAATGGAAGAATTTAGAAGTAAAGTGAGAAAACTTGAATTTCTTTACTTTCAAAAACATGTCACAAACATAGAGGGAATATAATTACATATAAATATAAACACTTATAAATACTGCTATCTGTTGATCTCTTTATTAATAGGACTGCACAAAGAACAAGACCCAACACGGCTTGAACCAAATATTTTTTAAGAGAGGGATATGTATTCATATTTATTTTCTTTGTCAAATAGTGTGATTAGATTAATTAGGAATCATTCAATTAAGTCTGAATGCTTTTTACCACATTTAGGGCAATAATAGCAAATAAAATGTCCATATAATGACATACACTACATGACTGCCACTATAGAGCCAATAAGTATTTTTTGTTTTATGGCCCAATAGGATTTCACTTTAGAAGAACACTCCATATTCTAAAAGTACTGCAGCTTGCTACGAATCAGTGATTTGTTATGTGCTGACAAGCATTTGACAAAATGTCCCCTAAAATAGCTAAAAAAAAAAAAATCCTATTCATCCAAGCTACATATTTTTCTTTATTTTTTTTTTATAAAAACAGGAGGTATTTTGATTAAAAAAATAAGATATTCTAATATTTTTAAGAAAGGCGATTTTTTTAAAAGGAGCTGTCATGTCACTCACCACAACTTTAACATGGTGGCATGACTGCCTGTCCAAGCCATTCTCATTGTACAAAGAAGCAGACCTCTGGTATGCATTAACTAATTACATCTATAGGTCTCCCACAATGTATCCCTGACATTCTTCAATGAGAATATTGTGAATAACTTTTGCTCCTACCCTTTCATTCCTCTTTCTGTGAGAACAGATTTACCAACCTTGACCTCATTGGTATACACTTCTTCTTTCATCTCAATGCAAACATCCTCCTTCCCAAAAGTACTTCCTATTTACAAAAATGTCAATGCATTCTTGCCTTGTGAGTGCATAACATCACATCTGTCCTCCTTATCCTTCTAGGTTCTAAGCTTGGAAGACCGTCCCCCTCAAACTTCCTGTATTGGTAATTGTTTATTGTTTGACACTTTATTTCCCTCCTATTTACAATCCTTGAGGATATGTAGATATCATTAACCTTTATTAAAGAAAATGTAATCATAAACATTGGATACCATCCAACAGAATATATATGCACTATGTACACAACTGCTCTCTTATGGCAAGTAAACAGTCTGAAGATGTTGAACCTATAGGAATAGTAGTACTAGGAATAAAACTATTGTAAATTAGCTTGTCTTATTATTGTGTCAGGAGTGCCTATTGTAAGGTGTCAAACACTTTTTGCATGGTTTGACATCTTACCTAGGGTCCACTGTGCACCGCTCAACACCTCCACTAAATATACCAGAGAGATGGAAGGTTCTATGCAGGAACTTCAGTTAGCTCTCCTGAGCTAAACCCAGAGTGTTCCTTTAAAAACAACTTTACATACAGTCTGAAATAATTCTAGCATTAACATTTCACTTTATCACACAAAATCACAATCACGCACGCATGCGCACTCATACATATGCAAACTGTTACTTGCTCAGTAGTATGCGGTTTGTATATTTGTGTGCATATCAATAAGTTTATGTTAACATTATACAAAAATATTACATTGATTAGCAAATAATAGCATGTTCTTCTCTTTTATTTTATCATGCCATTTCCATTTTTACTCTTGGAAGGGTCATCACTTAAGAAGAAAGTTCCATGTTATCTAAAGCTGATATGTGCACATACAAAAGGAAGACAATTCATTGTTGTCACAATAAATTAATTTTTAGTTTAATGTCTGGATAAAAAATATGAACTTTTCCAGTATTTGTAATTTTCATATCTGTATAGATTGTATTTTGCTAAAGATTTGAAAATGCAGAAACCTAATCCCAGAAGCTTACATCTATAAATCCCCTGGACTAATATGAAAAGGAAAGGGGTACATTTGTAATTTTGCCAGTTCTACTTACTCATTGGAATAAGAGCTCATAATTGTGAAATAAAAAAGACATGTTTACAGTTTATCACACTCTACATTTTTTATTAGTCAGCTTTTTTTTCCAACAGAGCTTTATAAAACACTGAGAATGTAAATTAATAACCTGTATGTATAATGTGTAAATAAAATATGTATAAATATGTATCAAATATAAATATTATTTTCTGATGCAATTCAGGATAGTCAAAACATGATGGTTAGCTAAAATTACCCAAAAAGGGATATCTTGGTGATTTCAGTAGTCTGAATACTGTTGTTTTTTTGTTTTGTTTTTTGGGTGGGGTCAACATATTTTTATTATTATTATTATTATTTTATAATTTATATAGCGCCATTAAATTCCGTAGCGCTGTACAATGGGTGGACTAACATACATGTAATTGTAACCAGACAACTGGACGTACAGGAATAGAGAGGTGGAGGGCCCTGCTCAATGAGCTTACATTCTAGAGGGAGTGGGGTATAGTGACACAAAGGGTAAAAGTAGGGGGTACAAAGTAGGTTGTTAGAAAAGTATTAATTGAGGGCTTAGTAGGTAATTTTAAAAGTAGTATTGAAAGTTTAGTCTTTCTTCTTTGTATATTTTGAAAAGGCACTCCTGGTACCATAACCACTACATCACATTATTTTGGTTATGGCACTTGGAGTGTTCTTTTAAAAAGGTGAAATAGAAATATATAGTGTGATCATGTCAAAATTGTTCATGCATGCCAAGAAATATTTCCAAAAGAGGGGCAGCCTACTCAGCGACACTTGGATACGTCTCCCGTTTATATGTTAAGAAAGAGCTGTATCGTATGCTTGGCAAACATAACTAGAAACAAACACTGGAGGAGATTTATCAAAGTTTATGATAGGGTCTTTTTTGAAAGAGATTCAAAATGGGTTCCAATTTGTGGAAGAGTTTTAAACGTAGCCTAAATAGTGTTGCATTTCTTCTTTGTATATTGTGATAGATTTTGATCCCAAACAATTATGTACCAATAAATAAAAATACTATGGGATTATTTTACCTCCCTTTTTACAACAGAAATGCATAAGAGAACACCATGAATAATGATATTTTGGTGCAAAAAGAGCAAATATTAAAGGGCCTTAATAAATGCACCATAAAAGAAAAAAATGAAGGAAGAGGAGCAAATCGATGTTTACAAAGGCAATTTAGAAATGGTAACTCACATCAGAAATACTTCACTAATAAGAAACAGATTGTTCTGTGATACTTTGATAAATCTCACCTTGATTGTCAAATTACATATGCTGCTGGAGGGATATGTGAGACCTAGTACTAGAACATAGATATAGGGCCAGCATGATTGATTTATTCTGAAATAAGTCATTCTAAACTAAATCTAATTGCTTCTAAAATCGGTATCCAAATGTTCTCCAAATGCCAAACGCTATCCCCTGGAGAAATGTAATAAAATGTCTCGTCAAAATATGATCATTTTTATTGTGAAGTGATGAATGAAGGTTTCACTCTCTGGAGATGATATCAATAAAGCAGACTCTGCAATCTAAAATACTCTAAAGCAGCTGTCTTAGAAAAACGTTAATGTCTTGAATGTTCACTCATTCATTGGCACTGTTCCACTATAAGTAGTCCAACCCTTTTAGTATGGATTGATAAACTTACCTGGGTCCCATTAGCCATCCGCTGTTGCAGTAACTTATTCTGGTCTCCTCTTTTTGAAGAATCTTGGTAGTTCTATAGAGCAGTGTTCCCAACCCAGCCCTCGTGGACCACCAACAGTCCAGGTTTTGTCAGTATCTCCATTGGAATAAAACAGGGAAATACATAAATGCTGGACTTCATTGTTCCGTGTAACAGATATAGGTTACATCTTGTTACATATTGGTTACTTATAACCTCTGTATGGTGTTAAATCGATTTATCTTTATTTGTGCAAACAATTTGTTGCTTTTTTGTTCTATGCAATTACCTATTCAGACTCAATACACGTATTTATCTTGACTTCTGTATTGGTTAATACCAAAATATCCTTTTAATAATAATTTTTGCAACCTATTGTAATTTTTCTGTGGATATTTTTTGCAGATATGCTGCACATTTATGATGAGATATTTTAATTAGTTATTAAAAGGTAAGTTTTATTTGATTACTTTGGGGTTACTCCTGGTCATTTAGGGTTTACCTTCTAAACGGTTTCCCTAGGTGCTTTTTCCTTTTTCTTATTTTCAATTACTTTAATTTAGTTTTAATTAAGTGATTATGCGCAAATATTAGATAATCACGTTGAAGGGCTTTAGGAGTGAAAGAGACACCCCACTTTCCAGATACAAAAATAAATAAACATTTCTGCTTAGTAGATATATCCCAATGAAAACGCTTTTAATTATGCATTTTTACATTAAGGTATATCAAAACACAACTTGCAGAAACTGAAAAATCTCTTGTCGGAAATTGTTGAAAGCCCTCCTCTTCTAACCCAGCCCAGACTTTCTGTAGCTGCCCAATTACAGACCTTCCAAAGCAGCTCAATAAGAATTCTATGCAAGGCTCCACTGAGCTAAACTACTAGGAAGTAACAGGACCTTTTGTCCGATTGACAGTCACAGTGTGTGTTGTGGACAAAAATATTAACCCAATTCATGTTAATAAAATGCCTATTTACTCAGCATAACCACAAGCAGCATTATTCAACCTTATATGTGATTTACCTAAAACGGCCGCTAGGGAGTTTCCCCTTGCCATCGACTAACACCCTCATTAACAAGATGGCGCTGGAATCTGGGGGAGACCTCCAAGATACCAGTGACATCACACCCGGTAGGAAGAGCAATAAATGAACCACTTAACACCTAACCAATTATTGATGTATTATTCCATGTTATCTCTGACAATGCATATGATGTAATTTTGCTTTATAAGGGGCATCCCCCCAGAATAAACATTCCTCAAGTTTTTCATTAACCCGAAACCTGTGTCTGGTGTGAATTACTTCAGGAGCGTGCACGCATCTTTTTAAATTTGGCCGGGGGCAGATACGCAAGATAATCAATTAATTGATTGATTCCACATCAGTGTGTGACAAGTTTAATTTATAAAAGTACTAATTCTTATTTAAGTCAGCACTATTTGTAAAAAAAAAAAAATAAAGACACCTCCATTTAGGGGTCTGGCGTGTCCTTCTAATCGCGTATCCCTTTTTTCAGGGTTATTTACAAAGCCATCTGACTGCATACAGGGCCATTATAACTGCAACATTCAGAAATTCAGAATGGATCAGAATGCTTCAAATCTAGCTTTGCACTAGAAACCAGCAGATACATACTCAAAAACACTAGAGTTGAAGATTTCATTATATTTCATCTTCCCAGCACTTGCTAACCACATTAAAAAAAATCTAAAATAAATAAATACAAATTCTATGTGAGTAAAAAAAAATCCCATATTACTAAAAAGAAGGTTTTAAATGAAGTAGGTATGGGAATGTCAACTTATGTTTTAAAGACTAAAATAAAGACATAGTGCTCACCATACCCCAACTATGGGCATTGGGTGAGTGTATTTAAAATAAGTAATGGTGGGTGGACAGATCACAGTTTCTTCCTGCCCCCAACCATGTTCAGCAGGTGTGGGCAATAATAATATAATGGGATGGACCATGTTTTCCGCCCTTGCACCCACTTATTGGAGGCAGGTGGGGGCCCAATTATAACAATCAGGGGGTGACCTAGTGTCCTCCCATCCATGCTTTATCCAAGCATGGTAGGTGGGTACCCTAATTAAAATATATAAGAAGGATATGTAGTGATCCTCCAACCCCCCGCCAACGGGTTTGTGGGTGGGGCATCTAAACAATTATGGATTGTGTGAAGGAATAACCCCATCACTTTCGGCTCCTTTCATTTATTCTGTTTGTTTCTACATTAATTTCGTTTAGTTTGTTTGGTTCCCAAACCGAGACCACCCATGGAAACCAATTAGAACATGAAACATTATGTATCTGTACAAAAACCGCAAAGGAAATCATTAATAGAATGCTCCACTGGGTGGCCGCCATTTCATACATGCAAATGCACGTGGCTGAAACAATGGATGGTGGCCATCGGGACTTGGTCATCGAGTGCCTGGAACTAATTTCGGCCAGGCACTCCCGTGAATACCGGTCACCATGGACCTATGGCCCGTTCCAGTTCACCTAGACGAACGGCGTTCGGGGGTTACAGACTATCGAATATGGGGAGCATTCTACACAAGCCAGTTTTCCTCTATCTTATGTGGTTTTCATACAAAACCCCACAAACAGAGACTAGCTCTTGCCATCATTTCCATGGAACTATTTTGGACTTACTCCTCGTGGCAGACCGGTCAGAAGTTCCCTGCCATGGCGATCCAAAACTACTGAACGGATCTGGGTGATTTTTGGATATATTGTTCGCCAAGATCCAGGCTACCCAGGGATGTGATTGTGGGGTTTCCCTGTATTTTGGGGGTACTTTTGAGGTGTTGCAAAGTTGTGCATTTTCTGTACCTGGAGATAA